CACGCTGGGGGCCGCTTCCTCTCTGGCCTTGGTTCTCACCCAGCAAGTGCAGGTAAAATCACCCCTGCCTCTCAGGCCGTCGAGCGGCTCACCGGCCCCACGCCCGGCACCCGCGTGGCGCTCGGCTCGCGTCCTCGGCTCTTACCACCCCCCCCTTCCCTTCTTCAAAGAAGGAGAGCTTTGGGGCAAGTCGGCCCACAAACTCTGGTCACAGAAAACGGGCCGAGGGGGTCTGCCCCCCGGGGCTGGGCATGGCTTCGGGGGTGTGTTTATGGGGGCAGGAAGACGGGCGACAGGCCACCTCCGGGTCACCATGACCCTCACAGTGTCGCTCTTTCTCGGGTCCTCGGTTTCTCATTCCCTGGGCGTCTCCTTGTGGCCTGTGCAATATCTGCACCTCTTTTTTTTTCTCTCACCAAGAGAACCTAGTTTCGTTTGGGGCAGGAGTTTGCCCAGACTCTCCTGTAGACAGGAGTGACCATGTGACACGGTTCTGGCCCAGGAGATGGAGGGGCACGTTCCGGTGGGGAAGGGGTTAGTCTCCCTGGATACAAAGGCAAAGCTCGCTTGAAGAAAATCCTCCCCACCCTCAGCAGCGCCCATCCTTCTTCCAATGCCTGGAAGGCAGACGTGAGGCCTGGCGGTGCGGCAGCCATATTGTGACTGTGAGTCCACAAAAAAAGGTGCAGTGGAAAGAAGGGAGGGAGCGAGGGAGGAAGGAAGGAAGGAAGAAAGAATGAATACAGGAGGTAGGGGCAGGCTGACCTCACTTTTTCCACTTTCTGGCTGTGTGGCCTTAGGCATGTTACTTCACTTCTCAGAGCCTTTGGGAAGGCTTTGGGAAGGCACTTTGGGAAGTGGCGACTGGGACAGTCATCAGCCCACAGGGACGAGGCTCTGAGAAGGGTGAAACAAGGAAGAGACCCTTCGTTTCTCCCCTTGGAGAAAGTTCCAAGGCTGGACACGGGCCCCAAGCCCGGCCCTCGGGCCCGTCAGCTATGCAAACAGGAAGTGACTGTCCAAACATGAGGGGCTGCACGGGGCTGGCCCAGAGTGTCCGTGAGGAGAGGACATGTGTCTCCTCATCCCCCAGCTGGGAGCCCCTCAGAAGTCAGGGGGAGGCCCCTCCTCCAGGGGCGAGGTTCAAAGCCTCCTCTCTGGCCCTCCCGGCTCTTTGTCACAACTGCCCCCCCCCCCCCCCCCCCCCCCCCCCCCCCCCCCCCCCCCCCCCCCCCCCCCCCCCCCCCCCCCCCGTCACTTTTGTTTGAAATGCAAATCTGTTCCTGTCCCGTCGCTGAAGTCTTTCATGCTCTCTCTGGGGGAAGGACTGAAGTCCCTGACGCAGCCCCTGCTTCCAGCCACTCTGCCTCCTTTCAGTTTCTGGAATGTGCCGGGTCCTCTAGCCTCCAGGCTCTGCCCCTACGCTTTCCATTTTCTAGCGCTGCCCCGCTTCTCCCCTCCCGACTCGCCCCCAGCTCGGCCTCGGGTGCTGGCTGAGCCCCGCCCCTCCCCCTCCCCCTCCAGCGGCTGCCTCCTCATCCCAAGATCTCGCAGCTCCACAGCGGCCACCAGAGCAGGGGCTTGAGGCCACCTTGCCCCCAGTCCCCTTCCCGGTACCCGGTGTGGCCTCTGTATACAGTCAGTGCTCAGTAAATGCGGAGGTCAGGCAGGCAGCGGTGCCTTGCGGTTCCAAAGGGAGAGGGGGCTGTTCACTGAGCACCTGCGGCAGCGAGGCAGGACCTCCGCAGCCACTCTGGGGGCAGGGTCACACTTGTGGCCCAGGCCCCGCTCGGATTCAGACCGGTCCCCAGCCCAGCTTCCCGCCTGATGGAGCTGGGCGAGGGTGGCTGTCCATCTGCTTCCTCATCTGCAGAATGGGGGTGCGCGGGTGCCTGAGTCACAGGGCCGCAGTGAGGGTTCAGTCGGGCCACTAAGTGCTTATTTAGCTCAGAGTCCGGCGCATGTTAACGACTCAGCTGCTGCTAGCTACCGTCGTCGTCGTCATCATCATCATCACCACCACCATCATCATCACCACCATCATCATCACCACCATCATCATCACCATCACCACCATCACCATCATCATCATCACCATCACCATCACCATCATCATCACCACCACCATCATCACCATCACCACCATCATCATCACCACCATCATCATCACCA